GTACAATAAATATTATGATTGAAATCAAATAACAGTTAGTTGCTAGTTAAATTACAGTCCAATGAACTCTTTCGAGGAAATTCTTTTTTTAGAATTCATTAAGTGCAAAGAACGGCCTCTTCGAACTCATCCCTTGTATTTTGATCAGCTATCGATTAGCTGTTGAACGAATATACATGATGTAGCGAAAAGGTTATAGAAGCAACTGAACTGATGATGGACACCATAGTGTCCATATCGTCCTCTGGGCCAAGGATACATGGACCCGATGGTGTTCATAGCGGCCGTGACGGGTTAATCTAGTGCATAAAATCGGAGGCATCGATCCTAGAACTAAGATTATAGACATGCCCACGACTGAACTCTCTGAACGCTGGCATACTTGTTGATCAGTCGTGCTTGTGGAATCACCTCACTGAGCATATCCGATCATATCCGAAAGATCTTGCGTCTTTCCGCAGTTCTTCATATGTCCACACATTTCACCATAGGTCCCAATTTATTACCTTCCCCGTGACAAGCAGTATCTCGTGGCCTCTGCCTATCACTTTACACTCGGAGCTGCGAGTGGTGGTGCGTACGTGGGTGCTGGCGGTCCGGTCTTCTTCACAGCCCGTCAACTGCGGTCGGGCGACACGTGGCGCATCACGCGCTCATGGCGTCGTCGACGGCCGGTCTTCCGTCACCGCGCCCATCTCCACCACGTGTCTTAGATCCGACACATTCAATGGATCCGTATTCCATATCTCATTCCATACATAGACGTCGATCCTTCAGGAACTGGAGATTTGCTGCTACATTTGTAGTGCTCCACGGTTTTTGTGCTTTTCCCAAAACGTTTCTGTGGTTGTGCTTATTTTGACTAAGCTTACGACGATTACCATTTGGTGAGATTGAGAAGTTTTGATAAAAAAAAAGCTCTTCTACGTTTCTGATCTGGCATATTCGTGAAATGCAAGAGTCCAGCATTAATGGACGAGTCCTCTTCTAGCGATATCTGGCGTTGATGACCTCGTGGAGCGCATGGCGCTGTACCATGCGGCACCAACTCCTCCCTTACAGTCTAGGGTTATCTGCAGTAGTTTACAGTGTTTGTTTTGAGACTATCGTCTGATAACGGTCTGAATGTTCCTTCCAGTGCATCCGTTATGTACTGCAGTGATACGAGTTTCGTGTCTTTCATCTTTTTCATTCTTTTCGTGCCTTTTACCACTGCTTTTTTTGTCGGTCAAAGTTCCATAGCTCCAGTTCACTTTAATTTGATACCATATTAGTTTTATCAAAGAGGGAAGTCATAGCACTAGTACCCTGAACTTGAGGAGTTATGAAGCGTGTTGCTGGTAGGTATCAAGACATTCCTGCCTTTTTTTGTGGAAGGCTTTCAGCTCGTCACGTGTTGTCGTGAGTTTATCTCTGACGTCAGTGTAGAACTTTGAAGGGTCATAGATTAACTATGTTTATGGCGCAGATCAATGTCGTTGGGCTGTTGCCTTCGGAACATCGTCGGCGAGGACGTTGATTAAGTGACTGTGGATATGGAGCTATTGTGCTTAGTTCTGTCATAGTTCAGTACATCAGCGTCTTATCGTTTGTGTGCGATCCCCTTACTAGGTGAGCGATCCGGAAGGGGTGAATGACTTTGTTGGACTGGGAACGTGTGCAGGAACGAAAGTTTACCCAGGTGGCGACATGACGGGACCGCCCACTGTGAGTTCGGAGATTGTCATTCGGGAAGTAAAACTTATTAGCATGTTCTTTACTTCTGCTATCTCTAAAGAAGATTAATGAGTTCTTTTATTTTGTGTCAGGTATTCTCATTTGGTTTTGCTTTGGTACACTGAGCGTTCTGTGTATCGAAATTGGACTTGATTGACTCGTCTTCATTGGTTGTGCGAACCCCAGCATAACTTACATTTTTTCGCAGTTTTACTGGTTAAGCCATTGTGGTTCCTTGGAGTCCTATGCACAGCCAGGCCAAAGCTCGCCCCAGGTCGTCACCACCTCAGGTAGTCACTGCCGTTGTAGATTAGAGGGAGATTTGCCACCATGCGACTAGTATGATACCAGGACGGTGGTGGGTCTGTTATTGGTTCACTTTTAGTTGGGCTTCTTGATGGAAACGCCGGACTCCTCAGTTTGGGAGCCCCTGCCGGAGCGATGATTTCCTCGCTGTACATCGCAGCCCGACACCCAAGAGCATCTCCCAGTCACGATGAGGCTGTGAACCGTTGGGAGCATCGAAATTGTCTGGAGCAACTATTCATGTAGCATTTTTTGTTTAAATTGCTTTTACCCAGAGTATATTCTTCCATAGCACCATGCTTTAGCCAGTATCAGCACGACGTTGTTTATTTACTAGGTGAATATTCAAAGAAATCAAAGTGCAGGATTGGTGAAGTCCTTGCGATTTCGCGAAGAGTTCTTCATGACACTAAGAGTGATCGCGGAAAGGTGCTTTTCGAGACATCTGCCATCTTACTTCATATAAGATGTAATATAATGGAAAGAATGAATTCAGATGCAACTGATCATACGTATGGCACTGGGCGGCATTCATGGTTTTTGTCATCTCCGTCGCTCCAGAGCTGCCCCGTAGGCTCTCCTCACTGAATGAACAACAAAAGCATAGCAGTTTTCGAATAAGCTCCTTTAGTTGGACTATTTTGCTAGAAAGCGTGCCCGTAGGTAACTTTATTGAAAATGTCTTGCGTCCTAGATATTGTTACGAATAGGTTGCTTAGCTCTCTAGTTAGGGGCCCGTTTGTTAGAGAAAAGCTCCACGACCCCTCGTGTGACATGGCTACATTACGTGGTGCTGTTTATGGAAATTCTTCGTTTCTAATGAGTTCAAAGAAAAAGTTAGAGGACAAAGTTGGCTCTATCCGTCGCAATGAGTTCGTATAGTATGAGATCCAAATATGTTAGGTGTCTTGACAGATCTGTTGTGGAAACCGTTTCAGAAATGTGATTGTTCGAAAAAGAGTGTTTTGTTTTCTTCAGGAGATGTCTACCGACCCTTTATAGTACAGATCGGTCGTAAAACATTAGATGTCTACTACAAACCTTTTTGTGCTTTAAAACTCTCCTACTTTACTTTTATGCACTTTCCATTCCCCTTCTCCCGCCTCAGTTTTCGGAAAGCTCTTGATTATTCCTTAATTTTTATTTGATGAAATAACTTTGTTATTTGTTGAAAACCTCTACAGATATGTCTGAGAAGTCACGCGAGCCCATACATAGTGGGCACTTCATGACATCCAACCCTCATACGGAGCCACAACCTGATGACGAGGATGAAGACGTTGAAGTAGGTCTCATTTATTTCTTATCTTGCCAGTTTTATGTTACACAGATTTAACTTTTTTACTAATTAACAGGAATTGCTCAGCTGATTAGTTGGTATGTACTGAAGGACCTTAATTGATTGGTCTTTTGTTGCGGTGTTTCTCTCAAAAGTCGTCTTAGTGCTTGTATTGAGGACCAAAATTATTGAGATTTTCGACCTTCAACTTCTCCTATTTGTGCAGTCGAAGTAAAATAAAAATGGAAACCATGGAATACTGTATTTGCAATTTCCACATATCGTTCTGAAGGATTTACTAAGGTGGACGTTGTGGAAGATGGTGAAAAAGCGGACGACATCGGAGCTGGCACGTCCAAAGTCGAGCAAGCTGCTTTAGTGAGTTTCTGTTTTTCTTTGTTCAACACAGGTACCACGAAGTCTTTTGACCTTATTTTTTCTCATTTTTTGAAATTACTTTGGTGATTTTGAGCTACTAAATGTAGCAGTTTTCTTTTCTAATATATAATCAATCACACCACATGTCATCGAGTGACCCGAACGGGGCTAAAATAGATCTTCCATTTTTCCCTGTCGCGTGCAAGAGTAGCCCAGTGGGTTCTGCTTGCTCTAGGGACTGGTTGGCCATCATATCACTCGTCTAGGATTTTTGTGAGGAACTCTGACTATCCGGTCAGTGGTCTTCCTGCAGTGCTTTTAACATCCCGAGGAATCCAGTCACTAACGGCTCTTGTCCATCGGTTGTCATTCATACGCATTACGTGACCGGCCCATCTTATCTTCGACTGTTTGGCGTACAGAACGACATCTTTGATTTCTGATCGTTGACGCAGGTCGGAGCTTCGGATCCCATCCCTTACTTGTGTGAAACGGGATACTCCTAGCATCGCCATTCTGACTGCGCGTTCAATAAAGCTGAGTGATCGCTCATCCTGCTCACGCAACGACCTGGTTTCTGACGCATACGTTAAGGCAGAAAGTATTTTAATCTATACGTAGCCGAATTGAGTGAAGCGCGAAGCATTAGAGTCTACAGAACTTTGAACCAACAAGGTGTTAGTTTTCTTATCCCATCAATATTCTGCCTTTCCGAAGCCTCAACATTTTCCCACCTTTTCTTTTCAGAGAGAGTCATATGACGAAGGCGAGAGCGATTGGACAGGTTAAGTTCCGTCCAGCATGACGACGTGACGGCGTTTCAAAAAAAGATCTAAAAAAGTTCTAAAAGTAATTTTGAGAGGTTCTGATATCCTAAGGAAAATTTTGTTCTTTTCAGGAAAATCTTGTTTTTAAACAAAAATAAATGGCTTTATGGGGAAATACATTACTATCCCGAATTATAAAGATAATTTACTTGGATACTTGGAAGGCCCGTCTTCACTGACAGTGCAGACCTCAGCATAATTTCCATTTTTTCGAGTTTTACTAGTTTAGCCACTGTGGTTTCCTGAAGTCTCGAGGTCAGCCTGACCAAAGTCTGCCCCAGATCGTCACCACCCATTTATAAAGATTACATATAATTATGGTTATGATTATCTATGGTGTATACAAGGTACATCCAACTCTATGAAAAAAAATTGTGCATACATACATATGTGTATATATGCATATGTATATATGTATACGTACAATGTACACAAATATGCATATATATATATACATATATTTATATATATGTCAGTAGCTCTCAGATGGGTTGATGTACATCGTCAGATATACATATACACATATATATACATGTATACATTCGTGTGTATATCTATGCACATATACATATGTATATATATATATATATGTAATATACATATTGGTGCTACTCTTTGCTACATTTGGAATTTATTTCTAGTATGAGAAACCTGTAACGTTCTACAAGTTCGGACCTAAGAAGACGCAGTCAATCGCCATAGACGTTTCACTCAATAAACTCAACAAGTGCATCAAAGTGGCGTACAAGTTTGTCTTTCTTTAAACAGTGTTGTCTTGTTGATGAAATCACTTTATGTACTACGAAACTGTGGCGAAAAATCTGCCATCTATGGTTTTTAGCAAGATGACAACTCCAAAATGGAAGGATTTCAAGGGCCTACGTCTTCATTGGAAGCAGCGAATCAGACTAAATAATGTTATATGGCGAGCGTACTACATTGAATGTGAGTGTTTTGTAATGCAAACTTGAACATTATGAGATAAAGCTGCTTGATTTAGTTCGAAGACCAACCAAAAAAGCGAAGAAGAAAACTCCGTTTTGTTACTTTACTGTGCCGGATGATGATACGACGCATGCGAAGATTGAAGTATGTTGGTTGTTGTGGATATTTTGCCAGATGTTATTTTCAGATTCGGATATACATTCTCCAGGGTAGTCTGTTGGAGGGCATGCACTGGAAGCGGAGAATTGAAGCAGTATGTACACAGAACAAAAGGTGGAGACATTATATGAAGCCTCGGAGAGCGCAAGAGAAGCCATTAAAACGCAGAAGGGTATATCGTTTACAGCTGTATACCTGGATTGAATAAACTGTGTTTTCCTAGTTCTTGCCTTCGTATGCTACGGTTAGGAAAAATAAGGGCTCATCATGCTAAACGTTGAAAAATTTGTCCGCATCTTATCTCGTCTGTGTAAGACGGCAAAAATTGTAGATGGTCTTCACACATTGTTTTTCTGATGATATTGTAGATGTGTTCAGAATTATTCCGAAGGGCACAGCGAGCGCTTCGATCGCGATTTGTACGAACGTCCTTCAAAGCAAGTGAAAAGTCAAATTCCGGAAACTACATCAACGGATTATAATGACTTTGACGACCTCGAAAACGTCTTCACGGATAGCTTATTCGAGTCGTTGAACCAACCATATATGTTTCCTTATCCTAAAGAGTTTGGTGAGTGTCTTTCGGATTATTACTGCAGTAACGTTTCGCATTAACCCTTAGAGTACGACACCATATTTCGTGCAGCGGTCGCTTGTACTACTCCGAATCTTTAGCCGCACATATTGCGTGTTGAAGTCAGTTCATGCCAAGCAATAAAAGCCCGTAATTAGTTTCAATAGAATTCATGTGGTGCTCTGAAATTACATCTTAGTATCCTGGCTAGAAGGTGTCCTTAGGTGTAAGGCCGCGATGTACAAGGGGATTCATCCCTTGGCAGAGCCACCCAATTTGAGAATGATTTCGGCGTTCCCGTCAGGAAGCCAGCTAAAAGTAAACCAATACTAGGATTCGTCATTGTCCTGGTACTAAACTAGTCGCATGGTGGCCAATATCATTCCGTTGCACAAGGGCGGCGACTGCTTGTGGTGGTGACGACCTGGGGCAGACTTTAGCCTGGCTGACCTTGGTACTCCAGGGAACCACAATGGTTAAATCAGCAAAATTCGGGAAAGAAGAATGGAGATTTTGCTGAAGCCCGCACAACAAATGAGGTCAGGCTATCCAAGTATCCAAGTATATTGGACAGTCTAAATTGGTTCAGCAATAAGAGTGCGAGAAAAATAACAGCAAAGAAGTGACATTAACTGACGACGGCCATCTGCTATGACGTAGGAGTCGTAGTAAGCTCAAGCCCATCTCAAAGTTTTAGAAACGGTAGAGCCATTAATTTTGTATGTAGCTGAGCTGCTCAGAATGAAGTTAACTTGGACTAGTTTCAGTTCAAAGCGGAAATGCTGACATCATGCAACCAGGTTTGCTCTCGTTGCAACCAAGCCTAGAAGAAATCATGGCCAGTCTTGGTAAGTGCGGCACAGCAACTTCTGTTTTTACTTTCCTGATGCTTTCTAGTTTTCACTTTCCTGATGCTTTCTGGTTTTCACTTTTTGTTTATACAGCGCTCAGTCTTCACCATTATTTTTTGCCGGTGTTTCTTTAGTTTATAACCTTACATTTCCTGAGCACAGCATTTATTGTGTTATACCAATCATATTTTGGGAGCGTGTATGGCGCAGTGGTCGGAGGTACCCTGCAATACGCATGGGATCGATCCCCGCGCCCCTGCCCCATCAAGCCTTCCATCCCTCTGTTGAGGGCAAATTGGTGCCATACTTGTCTGGAAGGTTAGCAGCAGTGGTCCGACACAGCGGTAGGCCACCACGAGTTATTGTGAAGGCCAGATATGCATTCATTCGCCTCCAACGATGATTAATAAAGTCGAATGCATGGCGAATCCCTCAGTGTTCTTTTTTTTTACCAATAATATTTGCGACCCAAAACTGTTGTCTAAGCAGTTCCTCTAAAATTGACAACAGTCGTTATTGAATTATGACGTTGTTCATTATTTGATCCACCGAAGATCATTTCAAAGCCAAGTTTATGGTCCACGTCTTAAAGAATTGGTTAGTATTGCGTCTGCTCTTTCATTAAATTTATCCATTCTCGAGCATATATGTTATCTTGATGACGCGTAATGATATAATGCATAGCCTTTTATTTGCTGGCTATTATTTTTTATGGCAGAGTATTATGTGAAATACAGCCACAATGATGGTAATTGCAGAACTCGGACCCCATGCCGTGTTTGAACCAGCGTTCACCCTTTCCAAGGACTCACATGTTGGCCAACGCACCACTTAGGCCTTCGCTTTGCTTTTCTCTCAGCCAGTTTTTTACCCTAACGGTGTCATCAGCAATCACCCATCAACTGTGAGTGAACCGGGAGCACAAATCTGCAATAGACCCAGTTAAGACGAGGTTACAGTCGAAATCACAAAGTGTAACCTTTTGTTTGCTTCCTATTGTCTTTCATGGTGGGGTATTATGAGAAACACTACCTCTTAATAGTATAGTTGATTGTTCTCGTGCCCTCTTCTGGACCAAAAGTCTTCGTTTGTCAATTTTACCTTTGCACCTTTTGTTTATTTCATCTACTTTTTTTAATATTTAGTGCTCGTTTTTTAGATCGTTATGATGATGAACCTTGCACGTCGCGGAATGACGTACTGCACAACGTTGGTGCCAACGCAATTAATCAAACTGTCATCGACACACCCGAAACAAGTATTCTGTCTGCACAACAAATAGCATTACCCACTCAGTCACACAATATGGCTTCATCACAACATCGTCCTGATCTAGCGTCCAGTCGCGAGTCATCGTCAGCACCAAGGCCAGCTCAGGACTATGCAGTGGCTAGTATGTTGGTGGATTACAGGTATTACAACAGTGTGTTTTATTCTTTCCTACGTTGTAGTTGTACTTTCGGAAAAGGTGCAATAACTCCGATGATGCCAAGGTATTTGTAAAACTCAGGGCCGCTGGTGTCAATCCGGCTCTATTATCCTTTCCGGGAGCTAACGTGTTCACCACCACCGCATGCGGATCCTTCGTTTCACGGCTGAGAGATGGGCGAAACGAAGGACCCACATGATGTGGTACTGAACGCGTTAGACCCCGGAAAGGAGAATAGCGCCGCATTCGTTTCCCACTACGGACACCAGCGGTCCGGAGTTTTTAAAATATCTCGGCATCATTATGATCATGTTTCACATAATATCCTGTCGTTAAGAAGGAATAGGCACTAAGTAAGAAGTATTACATTATAGTAGCTCTTGTCACATGACAGTATGATGTCACTTCTGTTAGCATTTTTAACTCAAACAAAACATCGGCGATATGCGAGCAAATTGTGCGTAATATTTAGGTTTTTTTTCAAATATTTTAGTATGTTCCATATCCGATTACAGAAAATAAATATACTTGATGATGGTATACGTCAATTTTCTTTCCGAAAGTTTTCATTCCAGCAACCAGCCATCGACTTCAATGCAGATGCCAACTCGGCAACCATCGTTGATCACTTCACAAATGGTGATGATGTCCTCGCTGCATACCAACCAACCACAGTACTCAACAGCGTCCGTATACAACTCAGTTCCACATGTTTCTCCCTCGCAGCGATCGGGTGGAATTCATTGGAAGGTTATTTTTGCTAACGCCGTAAAAAAACGTACAAAACTTTTTGACAGTAAGGTAGCAAAAGGATGGTTCGACTTAACAATTATTTATCACTCCAAAAAGTTGTAGGTGGCGATATTTATGCAGCTTTCTAAAGCTTAGCAATTAGTATCCAATTTTTCAAATACCATAGTTGTTTCATTCTGCTTGTCAAAATGGATTATTTGAAAATTCCCGTTGCTATTATTTTTTCATGGCAGGGTATTATGTGAAATACAACCGCAATTGTGCTGAAATATTTGCGGAACTCATATTGCAGGCCAGATTCGAACTCGGGATTGTCGTTTCTCCGAGAGCCCATGGATAAAGTAATCACGGGTTATAATCTGGTTTGCTGTCCTGGTTTTCCAATCAAGTTAGCGTAATTGTGGTTATATTCGAAAATGATTTGATTCGGAGTCTGGGTATATTGAAAGCGTATTTGCCTGGGGAAGATATTAGGTCTTTCTGAAGTTAATGTCTTATTTCAACCTGCATCTCTAAAGTGGCATATCTCACCTCCGAATAAACTTTGTTAATCAAAATAAGGACCATAGAATCCAAAGGTCTTTGCAAACGAGCAACAAGTTCATTTCCAGCAGTTACTATGGACTTCTATAAGCAATGAAGTCATTGAAGGTAGTTTCGTCCTCGATTTGCTTTCTGATGCATCTCTTGCACAGAAAGTTAGCGAGGTGGTTGATGAAATGATAGCCGGCAGGCGAAAGGTCTGGCAAGTGAGACAAAATTTTGTAACCTATCTCGTTTAACTTTAGCAGTTTGGGTTGTACGACGCATTGCCGCGCTTTGTTATGCGGAACTATTGTTATTCCATTTCTGTTCACCAATGAGGGGTCCAGCCCGGTGAAGTTTCTGGTGCATTTCGTCGACTTGCTGGACATGCTACTCTATCGTAACTGTTTCACCAGATTCAGGAAGCTGTGATGGCTCATACCAGCTGTAGGGCATGAAACGTTCAGCTTGATCTTTTGGTTCAATTTAGGTTTTTTGAGGCACTACGGAGCTTCATTGTGATCCATCCACTGAACTGATGGTCGTCGGTTGCCGTGGGGCATCCATTTCTCGTCGTACGTTGCAATACGGTTGAGGAAACAGTCGTTTTGGTTGCTCAGATGAAACTTCCATTATGTCTCAAAACGGCGATTTCCTCAGTTTTCATTCAGTTCGTGCGGCACCATTTTCTTAAGTTTCTTCGGTTTTTTCATGTTCCTTAAATATTTCAAGGTAATTGGAATGCTTTCGGCGAATTATTCTACAGCTTCTGGAACAATTTTGCGTGTATTTCCTTGCAGGGAATCCTTCAATTCAGTAATTTGGCTGCACTATATCCGAGTTTGAATACGTAGAAAGAGATTTTTCTATATTTCTTTATTGACATCTAAAATTGTAAACATTGAAATCTGTCAAAAGCGCAGTTTATACCATAGTTATACGGAAAGAAAGTACATAGAATGAACGTTGAAATGATTTATAAAACACTACGACATTGAAAAGAAGAACTGTTATTAAAACGTTTACAAGAAAAATGAGCTGACAAATCAGATATTATTTCTGGAAAACCCTGTTATCAGTGTATGTATGGTGTAATCATGCTTTTTTTCATCTGTGTAGTCCTTTATCAAATGTTTTTCGGGGTCAAGTTTGCAGCAAGAATTTAATGTCCTTGAAGAATTGTTGACAAGCTGGGAGTTTGGTGTCTTAGGGGAGACTTTGACTGATTTTCACCCAAAATTTGTGATTCCTTGGAAACGACTGGCTTATATTTGTTTTATCTACATATGCACGGAACTGTAGTGATCTGTTATACAAGTGGTGTTTTCTGCTGAGTCGTTCGTGATTTCTTTTAGTGCATTGATATTTGTTTATGATTTGTGGGTTAAATAATGTTTTTTGCAGTTGGGAAGCCAGGACGGAATGAACAGTTTGGAATATGTACCACAATTCCTGCAGTCCCCTACGAACCTATTGTCAGGATCTGCGGTAAGGCTTCGCTGAACGTTTACCAAATGATTCTCATATTTCTTTGATTCGTATTTTCACTCTTCCACAGATTACCATGGGTTGTCAGCCATCAACACCAGCACGTCCGTGGTGGCTGGATAGTCCTTTGTCAGCTACAGCCCAAAGTCCTTTGACTGCTGTTGCACCGTCTATTAATGGAGGGAACGTAACTTCCTTAGGGCCTTCTACTCCACTTGGTATTGGGACTGGTATGTTTTTGTGTAGATTATCAATTTCAAAATGAAGAGCAAAGCAGTCCGATTTCTTTAATATTCATTGCATAAATCGGAAGGTGCTTCAAAGGTCGTTAATGTTGATATTTTAAATACTCGAAATGGTAGCGCTCCTCTTACCTGACTCATCTATTTGAAGTAGCTACTGTTTAAACTAACTGCCTGTTATATGCGAGTAGTGTATAGTACCAGGGCCGACTGGCCAGGCTGCCCTCGGGTTCCCGGGGAACCACAATGGCTCAACCCACAATTTTCCGAAAGATGGTGATTATACTGGGGCCCGCACAACTAGTGATGACGTGCCGTTCCAGTATCCAGTGCATAGTACACTCTTGTTATTGTTGCGTTAGTGCAGAGTCGACTTCATGCATTGATGGCGCAGCATGAATATAGAGCAGGTTGGCTCATACATGTCGATTGCAATGCCTTTCATCCGGCTATTTACTTTTCCGTACAAAACTTTGCCTTTTTGCTTTACTTCCTGTATTGAATGACAGCTTATGATGTACAGATATTTTGGAAATCGAGTTTCGTGAAAAGCAAATGTATACAATTAATAATTGACAAAAGACTTTCTATTAGATGAGTTCTTTCTGCCGCAGAGGCTGTATCTGGTTTAAGTATACTACTAAATTTTGTGTGGAGCAGTGAGATGTTTCAGCACAGGCACTCAGAGTTCTCATGCAGGTGTGTCTCTGGAGTAGGTATAAGGCATATATGAGAACGTCGAAGTATACTGAACAAAAGCTGGTCTTTAGAGGGCAAAGCGGACCGTGTGGAGTAGAAGAGTGTGTCAACGGAAACATATGCCCAATGTGATCGCACGATTTCAGAGGACTTTAGAAACTTTGCAGTAATGTATTCGCTATCGTATGTATTTATTTTGAAGCATCTCTCCTCAAAGATAATTGCACCTTTACGTTTTGAATATATTAGTCTTACAGTGAGTTATACCTATAAAAGAATAACCAGTGGAATTTACAGGTCTTTGTAAACATAGTAGAAGTTTCTTCCTTGTGTCTGGATGGAATCTTATTTTTCGGGTACTGGAAAGGCGTCAAAAGCATTATTTCATCTTTATTTCGGGATTTCGTCCGCCTTATCACCATGAAAACCCCATTGCACCGTTGGTGTTTTGGGTTATCTTGTTGACGTCAAGATTTTAAAAATTTTCTTAGTAACTTTCGAAAGTTTAAATTTAAAACGAACTTAGAATTGAGGCACCATTTTAAAACATCACAGTAATGGTGAAAAGCCTCTTATATAGATCGCTCGAGCTCTCCACTTTTTAGTTATGCCAATTACCATAAAATTCTGAGCAGATGTCGGAAAAGCGACACGGTTGTGTTTAAAATGTGTTTAAAGGATGTGTTTAAAAGATGACATTCAAACAGTCCGAAGTGAGCTGCTATGTTCCGATTAGTGGATTCCTTAATTAATGATTTCGTGTGATAATTTACGATTCTCTTTTAAGAGGTGGTTTTTAAGTTCGAAAATGTTCCTACAAATGTTATACCTTTTTATTTTCTGCCTACTATAATTTCGCGGCAGGGTACTAAGCGAAATGCAACCACAACGTTGCTGAGATATTTGCAAAACTCTGGACAGCAGGTGTCTATGGTTAGGGAACGTGTTACTCCCCGGAAAGGACAATAGCGCGTTCGTTCCCCCCCATAGACACCTGCGGTCCAAAGTTTTGCAAATATCTCAGCAACGTTGTGGTTCCTACAAAATTCCAAAATGTAATCGCTCTAACGTCCACTTCGCGGATCTAAGTAGCAGAGTTTTATTTGGCAAAGTTCGATTAGCTTTCAAGTGTAATAATGATTTTTGTTGTTATCGTGAACTACAGGTCCAAATACGCCGTCTTCCTTGCTGCGATCTGAACTCCGTAGTCCAGTTGTGGTGAGGACAATGCCAGTACAGCTTTCTCCTGACATGCCAACGATCCTCAGCTCACCGTCTACTTTGATCTCCATCGATTCACAACATAGCTTGAATCGAAGTACTCACACAACAGTGAACCAACGATCTTCAGGAAACCGATCTGAGTCACAAACACTGCCTGTGACTAAAGTTCGTTATGTCTTTTCTTACCTTTCCACGTCATTTACTAGACCGTGGTCCTCATTAAGAGGATTCGCATTTCTCAGAAATATACTTGACTACTGACTAGGGTAGTTGTGCTGAAGATATGTTAGCAGATTCATTTAAAAAGACGTTTATTTTTGATTAAGACAGATCCTTCTTTGTCATAAGACCGTTCATTGTAGGACGAGAAACTGTTCACAGTTCCGAAACATGATTGGATCTCGTCGTTAAGCACAAATATAACAACACCCAATGTAGTTGACTCTGGTCAAATGCAGATTCGTTCTGCTCCTCCATCCGCCATAGCTCGCCCAAGTGGGAGTGCAAATCCATGGAGGGTATGTTTCTGGGTCGCAATATCGATTTGTTTTTGAACGTTTAATTTCTGGTGCAGAATCTATGAAAACGGTTTTCAGCTCAGTGATGTGAGTGGTACTGGGATTTATCCGCAGCAGTCTTACGGTCTAAGCTTGCAGGATAACGAAGATTCGAGGGAATCATCGTCCTCACTTGATCAAATGAACGTGAGAGTTGGTCAGTTACATCTTCGATTATTTATTAAAAACCTCCTGTTGTAAATCTCATGGAGCATCTAGTTGGAGAGTATGATTTTCGCTTTTTTCCGAGTTTAAGAAAAGTGCTGTTGTGTGGTTTTCGCATAACCAAAAGATTTCTTTTATCTTTTTTTCCTTGTTGCCTCATTGCTCTGTCCGCGTGAGCTTGCAACTTTCAGAGTCATATGATAAGTCGGAACCGAAGGAAGAACCAGTTCTGATGAGTGCACCTTCCAGCGTCAAATCTGGTAGAGGATGCAGTCGCCAGGTATGGTTTCAATAGTAATGACACATTATCGACTATGCGTATTAACTTAAGTATCCGTAGACGAAATTATTTTTTCTGTTCGATTTGAAACCGACATCTAAGCTTGTAAAATTTTGTTCACAGTGAAAACGATTAGAATCTAACCAATTTACGAACAAGACTACTTGTTCTAGCACAGTAAATTGCCTAAGCTTCTAAAGTTCATTAATCGTCTGTTTTTCTCCTTGTTGTTTTTTTCACATTTAGTAAGATAAAACGCGTTTGTAACGATAAACTAAAACACCTTGCAAACGTTTGCAAGGCTTCACTTGCTGAAATAGTTCTAGGAACGTTAGCATCGTCGCGAATGTGTTAAATCGAGGTCATGCAACTATTTTTGTTTAAATTTTTGGCATATTAGGTGCAAGCCGATTCAACTTTACACCCTGAAGAACGAAAACGCATTCTCCATCTTCACGCAGAACAAAATCGTCGCAGTGCTCTTAAAGATGGATTTGACATGCTGATGGACATGGTAAGTGCGGTGCTTGGGGATTCGCAGCTGTCTTTAGTTGAAGCTATCAATTAAAAGTATTTTCGTGATATTTCTTTTTTATCTCAGGACATTTACTAAGTACAATTTTGTCAGATTCCTGACTTACATTCCGGTGGTGTAAAACCTACGAATGCAGTTGTGCTTGCCAAGGGAGCGGAATATATTCGTCATTTGACTGCCTTGAAGAATGAACAGTCTTCCCAAAAAGTGGCACTAATGGAGAAAATTGTGAAGTTGAACCAGCGAATTGAGTACGTTAATGAATTCTCAGAAATATTGTTAAGTGGCTGCGAATACATTTATGAAGAACTGTGTCCTACGCAATGTGTATATGCGTTAGAATTTCGGACAATATGAGATCTATACCATGCGTATTGTTTCCATTTTTTTCTCCGGCAAAGATTTTTTGTGCCCTTTTTTGTCTTAAATCGATAACATTTCATTAATAGTGTAACCGGAGTGGTCCAAGAAAAGCCTTTCTCTACACGACAACTCAATTAGAACTTTTTTAAAGGCAAGTTTGATTCTCTTCATCGGTATCGCTGCGACTCTCTGGTTTTAGGACAATTAGGGTGAAAGATCACTGAGTGGCGTATGGATGTATTCGTAGTATAGACGGTATATAATTGATGCCTTCAAAATTACTCAAGGTTACAAAAATTTTTAGGCACTGGACTAATTTTAAAGAGAAGCTGAAGCTTCTTAGATGCTAGTGAGTGGCGGATCATCAGTGATATCACTATCGACTTTGGTAAAACAGAGATAAAGTAATAATTCGGGCAAGTTCAAAATTGAAAAGGAAAAGAAAGACACTATATTTATGAGACAGTGAGTCCCTTTTACAGCGTTTAGATTAAATGTGAGCTAGAAAAGTTCCCGTCCATTGATGCGAACCATTGTTATTATGGATTTATTGCTGTTTAAATTGAAAACGATGGGGTAATATGTGGGCCGGGAGAAATCTGGCGTCATACTGCACTTTAAATCGCCCTCAGGTACATAAGTCATTTATAGAGCACTGCAATCAAACCTGCCATCTTCAAGCGGTGTCTCAAGTACAAAGTTGGAGCCGCGAGCAGCACTTGAAGCGTTCTATGATCGCTATACGAAGGAAAGCAGTCGGAAAGATTATCGATTTTGGGTGGTATGTTTCGTTTGTTCGAATTACTAGATCCCTTTAAAAGCGAAAATGAAGGTCCGAATGAGCTAGTTGATAGGATCTGCTTATTGTGGCTAACATGAAGCAAGTAATAGTAATGGGTTCTGTTGTTTTGTGATTTTTAACTGGTCCTTGGTTTTGTAAACCTTTCTGTTGAACTAGGTGATTGGTGAGCAATTGGAAGAGTGGTAGACAGGCGGAGAGATAACGTAGAGTTCCATAGTCCAGTTTGACCTTGGTTCATTGACGAGTGTTGGATACAAATGTTACAGGAAATTTTCTTAACCTTGCAGCAGTCCAACGTTGAGGTTTGTTGTTGATACGTTTCAAGATTTCGAGCTGGTTTCATTTGCCGATCACAAAACAGTGACCGTAGCGGTTTTGAGGGTTCACCGATTCGAGAAATCCTCTTAGCATTCTATCTAAATCAAGAGACCGAATGGAACGTTATCGGTTTTAGTATGAAACCAGTTTTCCGTTGAATACCATAGTTCTGTCAAGAAATGAATTCTTTTGTGAATTTAGCAACGGGCGATATACTTGAAAACAATGAAATTCTTAACATCTGGGATGGCTAATCAGTTAAAGCCGTTGAACTTTCTGGTTTCGTACATATATTCGTTACTTGATGCATGGTCAACATTTAATTCTTCTATGTTATGTCAAGGTATTTTGCGCTGTCCTGTGCATTAAAGACCCTTAATAGGGAAGTGGTTGTCAGTAGCGGCAAGATGTTCGTCATCCTTTTCTTCGAAGCCTTCGTCTCTGTTGCAGGGCTTCAAAACGGGTGTTCTACTTTCCTCGATTGTCTCAAAATCTTTTTGATTAATATTTTCGTTGATATCGAACTACGATATACAGTGAGTTCAATGCAAAGGTCTATATAATTTACAAGGGCTAGCAGTTGCCTGTGATAGCGAGCAGTAAACACTTCTCTACTGGTTTCTAAGAATAGCAGGGAAAAAGTCTTGCGAACATACCGACATAACAGTCAAATTGAGGATATGGTGGGATTCTTGATGAAGATGATCAGTTAAACCATTTAAGTGGTTTTTCAACAATTGACCATAACTTCTCGCTCAATTTATATTTGAGAGGTTACAGCTTCACAGGTGTTTAGAAGATGTTTAAATCTATAACTTAATATTATAAACATGTTCGTGTGTATATTATATTTAAATGTACGTATAAATATTATATATATACGCGTAAAGGACAGTAGTGGGGGATAGCATAGTGCTAGTGATGTCCGTCATCACGAGCATGGTGCTAGTTCAGTTCCGCTTCGGGCCAACCAAGCGTCTCATCCTTCCAGGGCAGGGAGATTGGTACCGGACTTGTCTGCGAAGAAATCACTCTGTGCAATCCAATTGGGAACACTCCAGCCCGGCTATCTCAGAATTCTAGAGAGATTGCTCGACCAGCATTCTACGACATTTAAGATGAAATGAAAATCGTCAAGCAGCAACCGAAGCCACACGTAAAAACTTGGGATACCTTCGTGGATGATGGATGCGAGGAAACGAATTTTAGATGTGAGAAGTGCTGGGATCCGCACAGTAGACGTGGAAACGGATCAAATAAAATAAAATGTGTAAACGATGGGTGGCGGATCGGTAGTGGTGCCGACTATCACGACCACGATGCTGGTTCGATCTCGCATCGGATTCACCAAGTTTCTCACCTCTCTGGGGTTGCGAAATTGCTGCGAGGTTTGTCCGGGAAAAGTTCACTGTGCAATCCAAGTGGGAGTGCTCTTAGCCCGGCTATCTCAGGACTTCAAGGAGAATTGGCTCGACCAACATTCAACGACGTTTATGACGAAATCACAATCTTAAAGCAGTAGCCGACTGTACGCGCAAAAGTTAGAGGACCTTCGTGGAAAACGGATACGAGGAAACAAATTAAAAAAGTGCTGGGATCCGCATACTACGTGTTGGAAGACGGTACACTACATATATATATATACATATATATATATTTATATTTATATATAACACGGTTCTCCCTGCGAGGGATCTCGAGCCGGTTAGTCACGAGGCTACGTGGCGCGGCGCGTCCCTAGGTGGCGGGTGGGGGGTTAATCGCGGAACAAAAGCGACCTTTGCTTCCCTGAGACGCAGGTGGATCCAGGGAATGTACTTCCTGTTTCTGCTGCCCCGATTTGGCACATACTTTCTGTATTTGTTAGGCGTATTCATGCACGCGTGTGTGTGTGCGTTCTCGCTTATGCGGATTGTATTCTACAAGTCGATTCGGCCGAAAGTCTGCAATCAAATGAGATACAGAGAAGACCATACGTTCTTTAAGGTTATCACTGAAAATTTTAACGCCAACATAGCACCCAGAAAAAACGTCTAAAGAACGTCACATTGCGTCCCACAGATTAGAATGGAGCGAGCACTGTGAGACGCTGTCTGAGCTCATCATTGCTACCAAGACCATTCATTGTAATTCACAATTCCAGAAGCCCCACACTCAACGATTGACGGGTGAGCCTCCCCACTGGAAAGTATAATAGCGAAATAGGCCACATAATAGGAAACTGAGGGTTTTACTTAACCGATGTCGCCGTTGTCCCAAATTCTACAGGGGATGTCTCCTATGTGCAAGGTTCCATTTTTCGCAGTAGGGAGAAAAAGCCACTAAATTCGAAAACCGAAGTCCCAGAACCACCGTAAACTGGGACTTATTCAATTCATTAGTCGACTGTTGGGAAGTTGCCGTTATCGTTAGCACCGACGAAGAATACGATCGGCTCATTCAAAAACTTCACGTTAGCGCTATGAAAGTTGAGAGTTCGAGAGTCACCAAGAGACGTGTGTCTCCAGAAACACTCGAGCTGATACGCCAGCGTGGAATCGCACGTGCTGCAGGCAGACACGAACTAACGTCCGAGCTTGCAAAACAATGCAGACAGGCTATAAAAGAACATCTTAAAGAGAGAAAAGCAGCAGTAATGGTCGAAACTGTAAAGGCTGGTAAGTGCTTTCACGAAGCCTACTGAAGCTTCGCCAATTACAATACTAAGATGATTGCACTCCGACGCCCAGACGGCACAGTTACATCGTCGAGAAAGCCAATGGAGAAAATCATTCACGAATGCTACTCAGATTTCTTCTATAGCCACGTCCACCTTCCATCATATGAAATAGAGGATGGATTTGTTGTACCACCGGTTCTCCTTTTCGAAATCCGACATGCTATCTCGTCGGTGGAAAATCGAACAGCACCAGGTCCGGATAGAATAAGACCAAAACACCTGAGGAACCTTTCGCCAGTCCTCGTAAACACACTGGCTCTTCTTTTCACACGTTATCTGTCTGAATTCAAGGTCCTTACTCAGTGGAGACCAACAAGGCCGTGTTATTGTTCAAGAGGGTTGATCTACATGGTATCAGCAACTGTCGCCTAATCTGTTTACTGTCTGTCGTCTACAAACTTTTCACTCAAGTCATCCTAAACAGGGTTGACAGAACACTAGATGAAGGACAGCCATGTGAGCGAGCAGGGTTTCGAAAAGGATTAAAAGGATGGACTACATCCACACGATAACAGAACTCATTGAAGTGTCGCGAGAGTACAAAAGACCGCTCTGTCTCACTTTCATCGATTTGCAGAAGGTCTTTGATTCAGTTGAGATAGAAGCAGTTTTGAAAGCCCTTGATAGTCAACAAGTCCCTACGCAGTACATAAAGATTCTTCGTGAGCTGTAAAAAAATTTCACAACCAAGGAGGCATCACCATTTTACAACGATATTAACATTGACGTCAAAAGAGGGGTTAGGCAAGCGATACTATCTCGCCAAAATGATTTATTGCCACCCTCCAGAACGTCATGCGGACATTGGAATGAAATAATATGGGAGTGAAAATCGATGGTCGGCAGTTACACCATCTTCGCTTTGCTGAAGACATCGTCCTTATAACACCCAACATTAGCCAAGCCGAACGTATGCTTCCCGACTTTGATAAAGCCTGTGGAAAGATTGGTTTTCGACTAAAGCTCACAAAAACGGTGTTCATGAAGAACGGATTGGTTTCGTATGCCCCATTCACGCTCAACTTAACGAATATCTCTGAATACTCCAGTTTTGTTTATCTTGGTCGAGAAATCAATATGATGTGCAACTTAGCTTCAGAGCTGAGTAGAAGGAAACGAGCGGTTTGGGGAGCTTTAAAGAGCATCGAGGATGTGGTGAAGATAACAAAGAACACCAGACTCCGTGCGCACCTTTTCGACTCAACGGTACTTCTTGCCCTAAGGTATGCGTTAGAAACCTGGTCGCTGCGTAATCACAATCTAAGATCACTCAGCGTTATCGAACGCGCAGTCGAAAGGAGGACGTTGCTAGGAGTATTCCGCTTCACACAACTAAGGGATGGGATCCGAAGCTCCGACCTGCGCCAACGATCAAAAATGAAATGTGCCAAACAGTAGAGGATAAGGTGGGTCGGACACCTAATGCATATGAATGACAACCGATGGACAAGAGCGTTGGTGACTGGATTCCTCGGGATGTCAAACGTACTGCAGGAAGAACGAGTCCCTTGAGCGAGCAGAACCTACTGAGCTACTCTTGCACGCGACAGGGAAAAATGGAAGGTTTACTTGCGCCCGCTTGAGTCACTCGACGATCAACGGGGCTATAGGTGATACAGGTGATATGTATATAGTATGTGTGCATATGTTTTTGATACTTACTTGATACTTGAACGGCCCGTCCTAACTAGTTGTGCGGGCCTTAGCATAATAATCAGATTTCTAAATCGCCATGTAATCACTTATTATTTACTATATGTTCTTATTATTTACTACGTGTTCAGTATCTCTTCTTTTTTTCATCGCAAAGTGTTATGTGGCATTTAAGGAGTGTTGAACGCGTAACCTTTTCTAGGGGATTAACACGTTCGCCACTACACCATGCGGGTTCTTTACTTCGCTTTGCAATTTCTTAAAGTTCTGATGCGTGTGCGGCAGAATTGAACACCAAGGACATATTGGGCAAAGC